ACACTGGGAACCTGTCTTGCCCTTCACCTTCTTCCTTGTTTATGTCTGCCTCCAGGTGTGACCCGTTGTGGGCTGCCAACCCTGGGAGCTGTTGACACCCTGCCATGTTACTACTGACCTTGGATTCAAGTGACCCTACACCCACCAGTGTGTAATCTTTTCTTCATCATAGGCCTCCAACTAGCATTAGACCCAAGGACTTGATTTAGTTGGGCTGGGAGAGCTTAATAGAAACATTACTTGGTATAAAGTTCTCTTATCTGGATTTTCTCTAGACAACCCTACTTAACACACCATGTTATACCTTCATGAGCCATCTGACACTTCATTATATCCATTGACACTGGCCATGGCAGCTGAGAACTGCCATGTGGCACCTGGGTTCTCCATGGGCTTGTGGGACTCATGGCAGCACGTAGAGCATACTTTCAGGCAAAAAGCTGACCTAAAAGTTTACTCATGGGACCGTTGGTCCCGTTGCTCTCCTCGGGCATGCTTCCCATGCCTATCCTGTATAGGGAGGCACCCCGACTATGACATAGACCAAACTGATTTTTTAAAAAAGAAAAAGAAAGTTCGAAAGGAGAAAAGGAGAAGAAACAAGAAGAAAAAGAAAAGGGGAGAAAGAAGAAAAAAAAGAGAGAAGAAATGTACAAAAATCCCGGGTCTGTTCGCTGGCCTTCATGACTGTCCAGGAGCTGCCCCTCCCGGCCTGGAGCACCCCTTTGGGGCCTCCTCAGGGGCTTCGTGGCTCTGCCTTGTTCCGCTGCTGGTCTGACATGCTCTCTTCTTGGTTCGCTCCACTGTGGGGTTTCAGACCGCACTACCTCCCCACCATGTCACCCCAGAAATATCCTCTGTCTCATCTGCTCCAGTAAGGGGACAACGTGACACGAGCTATTGTCGGTCGCCCAGTCCCCTGTGTCCTATTAGCTCCCCGAAGGGACATCACCCTCCTGGCCTGGTGAGCCAGCGGGGTCCAGTCCAGCTCTCTCTCTTTCTCCCTCCTGGTCCGCTTCTGTGTGGGCGTGGCATGCTGGCCCCTCTCCCCAACCTGTAGGCTCAGTGCTGTTCTCCGCACACCCACTTCCAGAGAGGAGGTCAGTTTGGTTCTGGTTGGGACCAGCCCTGCAATGCTCTTTCATGTGGTCACACTGTCCTCATGGTTTGGTGCACCGTGGTAGGGTCTGCATGCCCACTTCCAATTCTGTGCAGACAAGACTAGTACTCTCTCCCTTTTCCTCTCTTCCCCCATTTTTGTGTTGGACCAACATGGACCTCCTTGGGTTTGGTCCAACCTCCTCCTGACTCCCTGTATCTCAACCCAAATGTTGTGATATAGGTGGCTTCTCGTCTATACCTACCATGCTGATTACACTTACCTTAGGGGACTCATGCTGTACTTCTCCTTTTGATTGGCTGACTTCGCTCAGCATATTTTCCTCCAACTCTTCCTATGAAATGTTTGATGTGCTCATCAGTACTTTTTAGTGATGCATAGTACTCCATTGTGTGTGTGCCAGTTTACTGTCTACCAATGGAAATTTAGATGGTTTCCAACTCTGCGATTGTGAATTGTGCCCCAATAAACATTGGAACACATATGACTGGATGTGGTTTCTTACCTCTTCTGGGTATATGCCCAATAGAGGGATGGCTGCATCATAAGGTAGATCAATTTCCATTTTTAAGTATTGCCAGATCGCTTTCCATAGTGGCTGTACTTATCTACAAGACCACCAGCAATGTAGGAGAGTTCCTATCTTGCCACATCCACTCCAACATTTGTTGCTGATTTTCAGATTTGGACTAGCCTCAAAGGTGTTAGATCAATGGTTCTCAATCTTCCTAATGCCGTGGCCCTTTAGTAGTTCCTCATGTTGTGGTGATCCCCCAACCATAAAAGTTTTGTTGCTACTTCATAATTGTAATTTTGCTAGTTATGAATTGGTTGATCCTGTGAAAGAATTGTTTGACCCCCAAAGGGGTCGCGACCCACAGGTTGAGAACCACTTTGTTAGATGGTATCTCATGTTTATTGGCCATATGGGTCTCCTCCCTAGTGAAATTTTCAGTTCCTTTGCTCACTTCTTCAAGGGGTTAACTGTTTTCCTCTTTATCTAGGCAAAGAGGGTACTGTAGATTTTCATAATCAGCCCTTTATCTGTTGTGTCATTGCTAAAAGTCTTCTCCCAGTTTGTGGGTTGCCTTGTTACCCTTTTGGTAAAGTCAGAGATGTTTTATCCTTAGTAAACCCCACTTGCAGATTTCAGGTTCCCTTGTGTACCCTGTCCTATTGCAGTTAAGTAGGAGGTGAGCAGGAAGCGCAGTGGACAGGGGGACAACTGGGGTGTTGGAGTCAATAAGGAGGATATAAGGATGGGTGGTGGTGGTGTTGGAGCAACAGCAAACTAGTTAAGAAGAGGTACCGAGAGGCAGAAATAAGGGGAAAGTGACGGTGGGGCAGGAGGGAGGTAAAAGGAAACAGAGGAAGGACCTAGGAAGCAATGGATAGAGGTATAAACATAGTGGTATACATGTGTAAATACATTAATCCACAAAAATAGAGGTATTGGCCTATGTACATATATTTATACCACAATACACTGAGGTAGGGGATGGACTTCAGGCCTCTGTTCATGCCCTCGCTCAATACAAGAATACTTTGTTCTAACAAATCGACAGTCTGAAATGTTCACCCTCCCAACACAATCGCTGAAGACAAAACAGGTGCATAAGCAAATGTGGTGAAGAAGGCAGATGGTGCCTGGCTATTAAAAGATATAGCGTGTGGAGTCTTAAAGGCTTGAAGTTACACACGCTGCCATTCAGCAGAGAAGCAACAAGTCCACATGGAAGATGCACACTGTCAGTGCGATCATGAGGAGACATTGGGACTGGGTAATAGGCATCAGCAGACACATAATCAAAAACCGATTTTTGAGAACAGTGGTGGGGGGTGGGGGTGGAGCAGAGATCCAAAGCCCATCTGTAGACAATGGGACAATCTCCCCACAGAAAGGCTACAGGGAAGGGATGTCAACCAGTGTGTCGTTAGAATTGATGAAACACACTAACTTCTGATTCCTTGAGGCTTCCTCACCCGCCACTACCATGACCCCAATGCTGCTTCTCCGTTCAGACTAGACTGGAACATGTACACAGGTATAGATAGATAAGGGAGCTCATGACACACAGATTCTGGGAACAGGAGTGGGAATAGTGATACCAGAAGGGTAGGGGGAAGTGGAGGAGAGGAAAGGAGAAAGGAGGAACCGATCGCAATGACTGACACATAACATACACCCCTCTTCAGGGGCAAGAACAATAGAAAACATGGGGGGAGGCAGCGGTTGGTATGAGATATGAAAATAATAACAATGTACAATCTATCTATCAAGGGGTTATGAGGATGGAGGGGGAAAAAAGAGAAGCTGATACCAAGGGCTCAATAGAAAGTAAATGTCTAGAAAAGAACGAAGGCAACATATGTACAAATTTGCATGATGCAAGTGATGTATGGATTGTGACGAGTGGTAAAAGTAAAAAAAAAGTTTACTCATGGAAAATTAAATTTAAATGTCAACACTTAGAGGTTGTTGTTACTCAAATTCTATGCAGAACGTTGAATAAAAATTTGTGATGACATCCAACTATTCATTAAAGCCCACAGCTCTAGGTAAAATCTATTGCTATTACTGGAATCAGTCACTTTTAGGGTATCTTGGATTACCACATATACTTGTGTATAAGCCGAGTTTTTCAGCACATTTTTAATGCAGTTTTTGTGGTAAATTAGGTGCCTTGGCTGATATTTGGGTAGACTTATACTCAAGAATATACGGTAATTGTTTTAGCGAGAATTAACTCCTTATGACAGTACAAAAGAAACTTTACATCACATAAGGCTTTAGCAAAAAACTTCTTTTAATACTGTTTATCTGTATGATGCTCGGTGTTATTGGGAAACATCGACAAGTTTAGCATTCATTATTTCACTTATTTGTAGAAAAACCTTACTAGTATAACACTTGCAATTATGAAGTATAAACAAGGAAGGGGGAATGAGTTAATGAGTAAACTTAGCTGACTACCCAGTATTTGAATCTCAACACTGCTTCATTGTTTTCTACGATAGTATTTCAACAATGGTAATTATTAGGTGATAAAAAGTTTTCATTGTGAAAAATGTGTCTAAAAAGAGTCAAGTACTAAAGCAGATAATGACTACTTAAGCAGAATACACGAAATCCACTCTGAGGATGCGAATTAAGTGTACATGTGTGCGTCCAATATACAGACGGATAAGTTTCTCAACACTCTGAATGTGACAATCATCAACTCATTGCCATCAAGTTGATTCTAACTCATAGAACTGCCCTTGTGGGTTGTTTTTTTTCCCCCTTGTGGGTTTTTGAGACTGTAATTCTTTATGGAAGTAGAAAATATCTTGTCTTTCTCCCAAGGAGCAGCTGGTGGTTTCAAACTACCCACCTTGTGGCTAGCAGATCAACTCTTAACCAGTACACTACCAGGGCTATGACCCCCCTATAACAACTGAAAAGAAACTTGTAGATTTTGAAACATGTTCCTTGGGGGACTAGGCGTAGTCCTCTCAAACTCGGGAGTGAAAACATCAGACCACAGAATGACAAGTCTGTTAGCACCAGACACTTAAAACTTGAGTGACATCACAAGTCACAGAATCTGCCAGTCTAGTTCTATAGAATCATATCACTTTTGTGAAATGAGAAAAATCCAGGTTTATGTACAACAGATTTTAAAGTTACCTCTCATTTAAAAGTCTTTAGAATTTCATTTTGCAATGCTATGCGCAACCAAATTGCTTGTTTATAATAAAATGTCCATCAGTTTTATAGATGGGTAAAAAGTAAAATGAACTGAAACAGTTTATGTATACTGAGGTCCCAGAAGTGAGTCATCTCTTGGAGAAAGGAATGGTGAAATTCAGTGTGTGCTCTCATTAACACACTAGAAACTTGTTTTGTGGGCAGTCCACATTGGCTGGCAATTCTAAACTGCCACCTGGTACCTTTAATCAATACTAAATCACGCCTGGGGCAACATATTAAACAAACAACACCAAAGGAAAGAGAATTTCTGTTCTTGATAGACGATCTCCACTCTCTTTCAGGAGGTGAGCTATTTGATGGCTTGGAAAGCAGTGTCCATTGAGTCTTTTCTCCGGACTTGAAGTGACTCACTGCTGATAGACAATAATTCTCGAAGTTCCTTATTTTCAAGCTGAAAAGAAGGAAAAAGAAGGTATACGCTCACGTCAGGTACTTTTACTATCAGAATGCATCAAAACACTGTTTTGGGTCCATAAAGACATGTTATTCTGACTTGAAACAGTATCCCCATCCTCCAAAGGCCGTCGAGCCCATTCCGGTCCACAGTGACCCTACATATGGTTTGTGAGGAAAAAAGTACTAAGGAAACAAAACCCTCACTGCCTGATAACTTCCTAAAATACTATTTATTATTCAACAAATATTGACTGAATAATATGCCAAATGTTATATCTATAAAGATAAATAAAACAAACTCCTCTCCACTTGAGACTGAGAGCTCTGTCATACTCTGCAGGATTCCCACAGGTTTACTATTGCTTCTTCCATTTTCAAAGTCCTGCTCCTCTTTTCGCACAAGTGGGGGAAGAAACTTCCTGAACAAGTGGGCAGGCACTGTGCGTGCATGACATGTTATCACACAACAAACTGTCCAGTATTGTATCAAGGGGACATCACATTCTACTTAAGATGAGGACTCTTCACTCCAAGGTCACATGCATTTGCCTACACTCAGGACTCGGATGTGGTATTGTTGGGGTCTGAATTTTAATGCCCATACTTTTCCCATTTACATTCTGAAGTGCAGCTGTCCCCATGTTCCTCCAGAGCTGCTGCCACAGCTATGGGAATTCAGAGACAGAGCGGACGAGATTGCTCTATTATGTAACTACCTTGTACTCTTTTTTAAAAAAAACAATTTTTTTTAAATTAGGGGCTCATACAACTCTTATCACAATCCATACATCCATC